ATCAAAAGAAAAATGTTATTTACAACACCTGTCAGAAATACTGGGTTTTAAAAAGACAAAGGTTACTGAATGCCTCAAAAGTTAAAATTTTTAATAGACAATTGTTAATGTAAAATATTTAACATCGATAAGAAAGATGTGCTAAGCAACTTTGGGCTTCAGAGACTTATTTTAATAAATTATATGTGTTTGGGACTTTTCTTATTTTTTAAATTTTATTTCCTATCTTAAGGAATATCATACACACATGTGTGTGTATACACATATAGCAAGTTTTGGGAAGCTATGAAACAGGACCAAAATCAACAAGTGAGGTTTAATTACCTTTGACATTTCCACACTCTGAATTTCTGCGCACAAAACTAAAGTTAAGAATTTAAGGATATTCTGTTTTTGCCACACTAGACTGTTCATTACTTCCTTTAAAAAACTCAAGGGTGCCAGGCTCGGTGGCTCATCCTGTAAACAAGTGCCTTTGGGAGGTTGAGGTGCGTGGATTGCCTGAGCCCGTGGGTTCGAGACCCGCCCGGGCAACTTGGCGAGACCTCATCTCTACAATAAACCAAAAACAAGCCAGGCGTGGTAGCGCACGCCTGTAGTTCCAGCTACTCGGAAGGCTGAGGTGGAAGGATTGCCGGAGCCCAGTGGGTCGAGGTTGCGGTGGCCGGGAGCAGCCACTGTACTCTAGTCTGGGTGACAGAGTGAGATTCCAACTCAAAAAAAACCCCCAAAAACACACACACAAAAAAACAACAAAAAAACCAAAGGTAAAATTTTCTCCCCAAATCTCTGGCTCCAATACTCTATTTACACCAAAACATTTTTATCACAGTTAATTCCCAAAACATAAACTGTGAGCACTGTTTTAATACATTTTAAAATAGGGACAATAAAATTACAAAAAAGATCACATCATTAACTGCTAGTGTTTTAGAGACATTTTTTTCATTCTAAAGAACAGAAATTATGGCTGGACGGGTGGCTCACGCCTATAATTCCAAGGAGGCTGAGGTGAGAGGACTGCCTGAGCCCACAGGTTCGAAACCTGCCTGGGCAACTTGGTGAAACATCGTGTCTAAAATAATTCAAAAAATTAGCAGGGCATGGTGGCGTGTGCCTGTAGTACCAGCTACTTGGAAGTATGTGGAAGGATCACCTGAGCCTAGCAGGTTGAGAAGGGCTTTTACTGAAAAATGTCCCTATGACTATTTTATATAAAATATAATTCTACAACATACAAGATATGAATGTTTTAAACTTGAGACTGTTCAAATTTCCCAATATAAAATCTCCAGGAAAAAAATAATCTCTTATTGTGTTTATGTGAAATAATTTAATGGCCTGCATAATACTCCAGGACCCATTTCTTTAATACACAGTAAAAATATTTCCAATACGAGTCCTTCGAAATTAAATAATAGCCTGGCACAGTGGCTCACGCCTGCAACCCCAGCACTTGGAGGCCAAGAGAGAGGAATTTCTTGAGCCCAGGAATTGGAGACCAGCTTAGGCAGTATAGCTAAACTGTCTCTACAAAAATTTTTTAATACTTAGCAGGGCACGGTGGCACATGCCTATAGTCCTGCTCAGGAGGCTGAGGGGGAATGAGCGCCTGAGCCCAGGAAATCGAAGCTGTGGTGAGCCATGATTGTGCCACCGCACTCCAAGCCTGGGCAGCAGAGTGAGACCCCAACTCAAGAAAATAAAAATAAGAGTCCCCCCACCAAGCCTCAGTAAATATCCATATATCCTCACTGCCACCTGATGTTACTGCATGACTTGTTACAAATTACTGAAAATTTCTCTAAAACATTATAGATATCAATGATAGATATGTTTTTATCTGGATGTGGTGGCTCATACCTGTATTTCTAGCACTTTGGGAGGCCGAGGTGGGAGGATTGCCTGAGCCTAGGAGTTTGAGATCAGCCTGGGCAACATTACAAGACCTTATCTCTACAAAAAAGGGAAAAAAATTATCTGGGTGTGGTGGCATGGGCCCACAACTACTTGGGACGCTGAGGTGGAAGGATTACCCGAGCCCAGGAAGCCAAGGTTTCCATGAGTCATGACTGTGCCACTGCACTCCGGCCTGGGCAACAGAGTGAGACCATGACCCCTGCCCCCAAAAGATAGTTTTTAAATGTTAAAGAAAAATCAGATAAAATAACCAGCCCGCAACAAATTACTATTTAATTTCTTTAATTTACATTGGCAATTTACTAACTTCACGTGGGATGTGAAGGACTGACAAATTACTGTAAATACAGTTATGTATCACTTAATGACCAGGATATGTCCTCAGAAATAAATCATTAGGCAATTCTGTCACTGTGCAAGCATCACAGAGTGTGGTCACACACACCTAGGTGGTCCAGCCTACAGCACACCAAGGCTACACGGGCTAGCCTGGGTTTCCCAGCTGGGGTTCCCAGGCTACAGACATGGGCAGTGTGTTCCCTTACTGAATGCTGCAGGAAAGTGTAACACTGTATCAATGTCTATCTAAACACAGAAAAGGTAAAGTAAAAATACAAGATTATAACCCTACGGGGTCACCATTGTATGTGTGCTCCGTCGTCGACCGAAATCTCCTCACGTGGCACATAACTGCATTCTTAGTAGTTACTCTTAAAACACATGACTGTATCCCAAATACAATGAAAGCATCTGATAAAGAATAGACGTATACAAGGGGCTGAAGGTGGTAGTAATGCAACCAAACCTCCCACAGGGGTGTATCTCCCATTCTAAAATGCCTGACGACACGTGTCTACTTGATTTAGGCTAAGAGTTGAGAAATACTTTAATACAGATTTGAAGAACACAGGAGAGCAAACTCCATAACCATGAAAGAGATCATCTACATCATTTGTTTGTTTGCTTGGCCCATAGGGTCAGAAATAGGGAGATAGTTTATATTACTCTGGCGGAGATAAAACCTAATCCACGATATAGAACTTTCAGATTTCAAGGAAAACTTCCCATCCAGCAGCCAACAGCTTGTCTCTGTTTGCTGTCACTCTAGATCAGAGAAACCCACAAACCCACACGTTTTTTCATTCCTGCCCCCTTCAGTTACACTTGAGCTCTCTGACTGGAAAGGTCTGGAACAGATTAAAAGTCGGGCCACAAAATAAAAAGCTCTGGCATACTGTCAAGCTTGTCTGGAACACACATAACACAGTGGGCCCAAAAAAGGGAAACCAACCGCAATAAGTGCATTTTATGAAACTTTTTTGGGCCCAACTGAATGCCTGTGTGTATATATGTGTTAGAGACAGAGAGGAATCAATTTTTTAGCTATCTTCCCCCAAAAAACAAAAGACTGAGCTGTGTGTATAATCAATAGATGTACTTAAGTTCATAGAAAAGTTGCCTTATTTCACTGAAAAAAAAAAAATTTTTTTTTTAAAAAAAGCTTTGTTCTATTTCCTGGTCTCTGTCTGCAATTAGTAATGAGTTAATCATCATCTTTCATAAACTTATATTAGGGGGGGAAAAACAGCCCCATTCTTTAAGATTTTCAAAATGTGGACAAGTTGAATTCATGTCATTAAAGATGATTTAAGGAAACTCATGTCTCTGACTGTCCATGCAAATGACATTTACTAAATTCTCTATCTTCCTTAGTTTCCTGTTTCAACCATAAGCGCTTATCCAAATATTAAACAGAATCTGAAGTTGCAAATTATTAACATGCCACATTACTTTTTTTAAAACACCCAAACAGGTCATGAGGCTCAGAGGACAGCATTTAAGCCCAACCGGATATCTATCAAAATGACAATCACTGCCCTGACCCTACCTTTGACTTTACTTGAATAGGGGATTTAGTCAGTCAGCTTGGAGTAAACCCAAATACTGTTTATGGTTTCTTTCTTTCTTTTTTTTTTTTAAAGGGTATACATAAGAGACAGGAGAACTGGTCATAACGTTCCTGACAGGGAAGTTATTTTATCCAATCAGCTCTGGGCTGATTTTCCTTGTCCACCCCCCCCATTATGTTTGGATGGTATTCACAGAGTTAATTCCTCGTTCCCGTCAGGGCCTGCGGCTGCTGCTAGGTCAACCCCTGCAAAGCTTCAAAGGCTCTGAGTTCCCTTGGCCTGACCTCCGCCGTGATCTGCACATTGTTTTCATTTAGCTGCATCTAGTCCAAGACTGAAAGCTTTAAAACCACAATTATCTGCTCCTTTTTAGATCCACTTTCCATGGCTTTGGAAAAATGTCTCAGAAAACCAAGTGAAGACACTGAAAACAGTTTTTCAAAAAAAGGAGAAAACAAAGAACCTGTATACCCTTATTGAAATGTATACATGGGGGCTGGGGAGAGGTTCCTTTGTGCAAATAGTGATTTATTCATGAAACGGAGGGGACTATGGCTTGCTTTTTCTTATAGAAAGAGAGAGAGAGAAAGACAGAAAGAAAGAGAGAGAGAAGAGCCTTTACTTACAGAAGAGAGAAAAAGAAAGAAAAAAAGTCTTTACTTAGAAGGCATTTACTTAAAAATGCTTCAACTGGACCATTTCTGGGGTGACATTTCTTTCCCCTTAGGGTGGGCAATTCTTTAACAGCCAGGCACGGTAGTACTCAGCCCTCTCAGAAGATAAGCACAAGCAGACACCCGTTACTGACAAAAGGTGGTATCCCAGGTTTTAGATGTTGCGAGACAGCCTGAATATTACAGCTTAAAAAAAAAAGTTTTAAATAAGATCACTCTGTTTCCCCCCAAATGTGAAAGAACAGTGTTTCTGGTTAGTCAGCCGCTACGGCATTCCAACATCTCAACGCGGGGAACCCAGGCTGAAAAGCTGATTTAGATTTAAATATCTCAAGCTTAAAATGAGAAGAATAAAAATAGTCCTGCCTGCCTCCTGGAGGGAGGCAGAGTCATTTGTTTAATACGACACAAAGCAACACCATTTTATTTAAAGAGCCTCCCCAAATTCCTATACAAAAAATAGCAATCAGAAGAAGGTTTTCAGATGAACCTTTACCAAAACGAGGGTCAAGTCTGGGGTCTAGCCAGGAGGTGGTCTTGTTCTTATGGTTTATATAGTAAATTTCTCCATCCTGAGTCATGGCTTGTTCCCATCCATCAGGAAGAGGACCTGCAATATAGAAAAAAAAAAAATCACGGTTAGTTTTTATTTGGTACACCTAAAAAAAGGGGGAGGAGTCCTCATTTAAAAATAAAACACATCTTGACATAAAACAGTTCACTAAAACACATTTAAAGCCTTATGTTCAGAGAAGAAAGGCAAATTGATACACCTGATTCTTCTCCACTAAAAAAAAAACACAAATCACCACATAAAATAATAGAGTTGACATCCGTAAAGACACAGATGAAAACATAACCCCCGCCAAAAAAACTTTTGGAAGTCATGATCCAAACAACTCCTGTTACTGTTAATACAAGACATGGAAATGCCTGCAGCCCAGGGACAGTCCTCAGTCCCATCAGTTTTGTGACAGCACCTTCTATGAACGCTAAGGTTCTTTAATAAGAAATACGGACACGTATTCTTAGAACACCTAAAATATTGCAAACATTCTACTTAACAAGCACATGTTAGCTAAGACCGCCAATCTCCGTTTATTTCCATTCTTTATCCGACTGGCTCACACCAAGAAAACCGTAACACAGAAAACTGCAGTACAGACAAAGCTTCGTTTTAAGCAGACCAGAACTTGCCAGGAGGCGGGGGCCGTGATAAGGAGCGGGTCAGGGGCTGGGAGGGGCAGGACGGTGCCCGGCTGTAGGAAAAATCGCTCAGAAGGAAAGGGAGAGGAGGCAGGTCTCAAAGCTTGGGGAGGAAATCCCGTCTGGGAGACCGGATCAAGAACACGGTGAGCTCAAGAGAGGCTTTGGTTTTTAGGGGGTTGGGGATAACTGACCGACTCTGGGAGGGGCTGGCAGTGAAGAGAGGCCCAGCCTCAATGCCTGAGGTGCTCACACTCACTTCCACACACCCTCCTCTCCCCTCCCCGCCCTCCAAGTACCCTGGCTCCCTTTCCCAGCAGCAGTCAGGAAAGGCAAGGAGAGAAACTGAACAGGGCCTGAAATGTGCGTAACATCCTTCCTTCTGTAGACTAATGTGAACTGGGTACTTATCACGTGCCAGTTTCTGTTCCATGCTTATTATGTTTATTATTATTTTTTGTGAGTGACTTAAATATTGAATGCATGAACACCACAGTAATAATGAATGCAAAAAGAAATAAAATGACAGAAATAATAAAAATAGAAGACGATACAAATAAATGATGCTAATGTAAACATTAAAAAAACCCCACAGAACTCAAAAGTCCTAAAACAGAACATGATCATATTTCAACATATAACTTTTATAGAAAAAAAAAACCACGGTAAAATAAATAGGAAAAAACATGGTATATTTCATTTGCAATGCTTGATAAAACTTAACATCCTTAATAATAAATGAGCTTGGTGACTCAGCCTGTAATCACAGCACTTTGGGAAGCCGAGGCGAGTGAACTGCCTGAACCTGCAGGTTCGAGACCCACCTGGGCAACTTGGCAAGACCTCATCTCTACAATAAATCAAAAAAGTTAGCTGGGTGTGGTAGCACATGCCTATAGTTCTGGTCACTTGGAAGGCTGAGGTGAAAGGATCGCTGGAACCCAGCAGGTCGAGGCTGCGGTGGCCGGGAGTGTGCCACTGCACTCCAGTCTGGGTGACAAAGTAAGACTCCAATCCAAAATAAATAAATAAAATAATAATAACTGAGCTCTTCAGTAACGAAGAGACTGATATAACAAGGGAAGTGAAAATACAAGGAACACCACTGACTAATAAGACCACACTAAGATGGAGGGGTGTCACGTCAACAGATGAAAAGCCATTTCTTTGAAATGTTCCATTATCAATGATTACCAACACTTGCTACCTATTATTTGTTTTCGGAAGTGGGGATGTCTCAAACACTGGGACACGTCACTCCGGCTATGGAAAATTTACTCAAAATGTAGATTTTTGCATATACTTCGCCCTGGAAGGCAGTTCCGATCCATAGGAATTATTCCAACAAAATAGTTGGATGGACTGATATTTATACCTAAGCCTGTTCACTGCACAGAAAATATGCAGTGAACGTATCATCTCCCTGAAAGCTACGGATGCATAAATGGCTTTTTAAAACAAGTGGCTGGGGGTATCGTGCATATCAGCTCATTTAATCCTTGCCACAATGGACGACACAAAGAGTAGTACTACCTCTTCTACAGAGGAAACAGGCAGAAAGTGGTTAATTCTAGTACGAGGTCACAAAGCGAGTTAGGATCAGGGACAACTGCTCACCCTCTTGCTTCCTTTGGCTCCCGCCTTCGGGACCAGAGTCTAGGGAGGCCTCCTGAGCAAAAGAGGAGGACGTTCCTTCTCTCTCACTGGCAGCCCAAGCCAACCTCCCGGTGATGCCAGTAAGTGACCCTCTAGTGAGGCCCATAGGGCCAAAAGCCCTGGCTGCAGGCCAGTTTCCTTTGTATTCAGAATAGACCAATTTGCTACTGCACATTCAAAGGTCTGCTTTGATGGGGCAAATTCCTGTTAGGAAGTATTCTGTGGAGCTGGAGTATTTTTTTTTGAGTTGGAGTCTCACTCCGTGGCCCAGGCTGGAGTGCAGTGGCAGAATCACAGCTACCCCAGCGTCAACCCGCTGGGCTCTTGTGATCCTTCTGCCTCAGCCTCCCAAGTAGCTGGAGCTATAGGCACACGCTACCACGCCGGGCTAATTTTTGATTTATTGTAGAGACGAGGTCACGCCAAGTTGTCCGGGCTGGTCTTGAACCCGTGAGCCCAGGCAATCCACTTGCCTCGGCCTCCCAAAGTGCTGGGATGACAGGCTGAGCTACCAAGCCCGGCCAGAGCAGGAGTGTTCTAAGTCTGGAGTCCACAAGGGAGGCCGCCCCCTCCAGCCTGGGATGCAGAGCTCTGGACGTAGGGAGAGCCAAGTCCAGAGTCAGAGTCTGCTGTGGGCACCCTCCAACTCCACTCACAAGTGAAATGGAGGTGGAACTGCTTAGCATGTGTGGATCAGACCTTTTCTCACCAGCCTTCACCATCCTCTAGGGGATCAATTTCCCCACCAGCAAGACGGAACTCCAAAACTGAGTATCAACAGCTCACTACGACTCCCAATTGTTAAAGATGGCTTCATGGTAAAATGCTTCTGTCTCCAAAAAAAGAAAAGAAGTCCCTTGAATCCCGTGCAACTTTTCATGGTGATAAACAAGGCAAGAGCGGTCACTGGATGCTTTTGGGAGCCTCAACTAAACCTCAGAGAACTCACTACAGTCCTCCAATCTGCTTGAGTACATGGCTGGCCATCTTTTTTTAAATAGCACCACTCTCCACCTTAGCTAAGAACCGTGACAGGCAAGCGGGGACACAGAACAGCCTTCCCAGCCCACTGCCTTCTCCCTGGGGTCTGAGAGCCGCAATCCTTCCCGATCCTTCCCGACTGCCGCTGAGCTTCCTTCCTCGGTGGCTGACTTCTCACCTCTCCGCGCTCCGGTGTCCTCAAACAGCCACGAAGATATTGTTCATCAACCAGTGCACGCCACTCACTGCCTTCCTAAAACTACCTCCACTGCTCTCCATCCTCAAAAGCAAAATGCCCAAATCCTTGACCTAAGTCTTCTTCAGAACCCCAACTTTCCCACCCGCTCTTCACAAATGCATGCCATCTCTGCTGTTCCCATCACTACAGACATGGTGGCCGCCACCACCCGCCTGTGAACTCTTATTCACCTGCAAGAGAAGCTCAGATGTTGCCTCTTCAAGTATGCCCTCCCAGATGACCCCAGACAAAGATGAGCTTCCTCTTCGACTTTCCATGAACATTTAACAGACAGAGCTGTGAGTGCAGTTTGTCATGCACCTTTACAAACCTGTAAGCCAGGCTCCAGGCACTGCTCAGTGAACATCTGATGGGAAAAAAAAGTGTCATGCCTTCTAAGTAGTATCTTGAACTTCCTATAAATAAGTTGACAATAATGGTGTGTGTGTGTGTGTTTATTTTAGTGAGAAAGCAGGATTTATTGAGATGACAGAGAAGCCCCCACCATGGGAGGGGACCCAAAGGGGTTGCCCCTATTTATTTATTTATTTTTTGAGTTGGAGTCTCACTCTGTCGCCCTGACTGGAGTGTGGTGGCTGCTCCCGGCCACCGCAGCCTCGACCTGCTGGGCTCCAGCCATCCTTCCTCCTCAGCCTTCCGAGTAGCCGGAATTATAGGCGCGCGCTACCACGCCCGGCTAATTTTTTGATTTTATTGTAGAGATGAGGTCTCGCCTGCCCTGTTTTTACACAGAATGTGGTGACAAATGTTATTAGTCTAGGATCCCTTGACACTTAAATGCTTTGTTCATAAATTAATTTTTACAGCTTATTTAAATTTAAAAAAACAACTAAAAGTCACAGAAATGCATAATGCAAACAGATTAAGTTCCTTGTAACCCACTTTCCAGGCAGAAAACGAACAGCCTCCATTTCTGTGACATGCTTCTGGGCTTCTTCCTGGGCACGTCCCATGCACACCCACACCCCGGTGTCACACTCTGCCTGTCCCAAACTTGCTTTATTCCCTCAGTACCCCGTGGGCGCATTTTCTTGACACCACACATTCTTTCTCAATGGCTTCACAGATCCCCTTGTACCAATACACAAGAATTCATTTCTCCCTTTCCCAAGCTGCTCCTACTCTTCTTTTCTGTTATAAGCAGTCACACAATTTACTTGCAACACACAACCCAGGGACAGGGATGGCTGCAGTGTCCCCACTGCCCCGGCACCGTGACGCCCTCATGCAGCGGTGACATCACATTGAACTCTTCCGCGTGGCTCCCCTTGCTAGACCCCGCTCTCATCCCCGCGACCCGGAGCAGTGACCTTCTGCGAGGTTTAGTAACAGGGAGGCGGGCAATTCCCAGCCGGGGCTTGAACTCAGGCAGCAGAGCCCGAACTTCTGCATCGATTTCAACCCATATAACAGGCTGCTTCCTGGAGGCATCAGCACAGCCCCTAAAACCGAGGCCACTGCTTCCACAGAATACATCTCAAAGTGCAATCGTGACTGGACCCCCTTTA